CTTTTAGAATGATGATCAAACACATATGATGACTATCAAAATTTTCCTTCTCATTTTCTCAGGTCTACCTCATTCTCACGCTCCAGCTGGCCATTACCGTGGGTTTTGTGTGCATTTGCATGTTCGTGTAAGTGCTGGACTACGTTGCACATTCCGAATTCGCTCATTTTTTCAATTTTCAGTGAGCCACTGAGGAGCTGGATTGCAAGACACCCCTGGGTTTATTATCTTTCATAGTAAGCACTTCTGTGGTCTGATACCGCTCGAATAACCAATCCTATTCCAGTGCTGTATTTCTGGTTACATACATTGTATTGGGTTGCTGTGTGCAATGCCGTCGACGCTTCCCGATGAATTACATAACCCTGTTAATTTTTGTGAGTTTCATGCTTACAAAAATACAAGTTTCACTCATTGACACAGCCGTTATATGAAGTTTGTTTGTTTGAGTTTTCTAGCAGACAGATGGCATTTCATTTTCCTATGCAGAAGTGTGGAAACACACTTCTGAGAAATGAAACATTCCTTCAACAGATCATTCGAATCATCTCTTGCACCGTTTTTATCGATTTATCAGTTGAATCAATAAAACGAGTTGGTTTAGTGAGTCCATTTCTCTCATCCTACCACTGAATTTTTCGATACAGAATCAATGCGTGCTAATAGTTACTGGAAAGTCTATACAACCCTTCGAAAGGAAGCTTCGAGAATCAATTGGCAGTTCGTTTTCACAAAATCACTATAGTTCGACGGGTTGTGTGGATGCGATACACTAGTTAATCCAACTATACCGGTTGTGCTTCCACCATTACGTTTTTGTTTATGAGACGTTTGCATCCTAGGTTACTATGAGATTTCCAAATATAAAAAAATCATCCTAACTTTCGTTTGTTTTCCGTCATTTTTCCATTGATAGACTCTAGCCCTCTCCTACATGACCGGTTGCATCACCGCGTATCATAAGACGTTTATCGTGCTCATCGCTCTGGTGTGCACGGTTGTACTGTGTCTGGCTCTCTCTCTGTTCGCGGTCCAGACTCGATGTGATTTCACCATGTGTTCCGGGATGATTTTTGCGGTCAGTATGGTGGTTTTCCTGACCGGAATCGCTTGTATTATAGTGAATTTCACTATGGGACGAAACAAAGTAAGCGTCTGGTATTCAAAGCGGAGCATAGAAGCAGAATGATGATTCCTCACGTGTGGTAGTCTGTAAACCATTTGTTTACTGCTTTAGAAAATGGTTTTACTTGTCAGCTCAAGTTTATCTAAGCTACGATAACGGATCGGTGGAATTCGATAAACACTTTTGATACCTTGGGTCGAAATTAGTTTCCATGTATTGTTTCGTTTAAACTGGAATTTCCCAGGTTCTTATGTAACTTTACATGTCACTGAGTACCGAAAGAGTTTTCCGTTCGCGAATCTTGTCCCGTAAATTATATGAATCGAGAATACAGTAGGTTTACGTTGCATAACTTGTATCCGGATATATTTGGCTGTCTCATCATGTGCATACTACAGATTATATAGTATTCATGATCACAAGGCAATGTCAAGGTAACGAATAACTCTTTTTGTTTACACACACAAAATGGGCTTCCATCTCTGAATCGCAATTGCTTCAGCAAACTGCAGTGAACGTGAATTGGTGTTGAATGAGATCACAGTTCGGTAGAACAGATGGTTTGTCCCAAGCAAATGACCTAAATCATAATTTACTTGAGATCGCGAAAACACTGATTTCGATTTGCTGCTTCTGTTATGATGCAATACCTACCTAAGCTCACCACCTATCTATTTCATGAAAAATAGTGGAATAATCTTTGAGTGCATTTCGTCAGCATGCCAGACAGATGTTGCAAGATAATCCTGAACTGAGATCAGAATTGGCGTGTTTAAACCTGTGATATATGAGCATCAGACCCCAGGTCTGAACGGCTAACAGACCAGTAGTTCAATCGGGTGGGGGAACATGATGTGTTCAGGTTTTATATCCGGTGGATTGTGAATCAGATGTAGTATGCTTTATCACACAATTCAATGAGTCGCAATTGACTGTACATTATTGACACAAATACGACGAGGAAATGGTATTGGTTATCAGTGTGGTCATACACTGTAGGCTGCTCGTCAACATGGCTTCGTTTTTCTCGAAAACAGGCGTGTGTGTGTGTGTAAATCCGACTTCGGCTGCAGGCAGCAGCAAACCACATCTGCCGAAAAATCATAAAAGCAGATCATCGGAGATTTGTGACGACCAACTATATACTTTTTAAACTATATTTTCTAAACGATCGTATGCATCAACAACAACAAAACTCGACGGGTGAAGTGATTGAATCGACGTTGTTAGCTCGATCATTGGTTTAAAATTTGACCTCTGCTGCATTTTTCCAATCAAAGCACTAAAATCCCATCGGTGTACCAGCGGATCGATCATTTGGGCAGAGGGGCACTTCTACTTGCTTTCTGTATAAGACGCATTTTTGCAACATCACAGCTGAGGTGCTGTTAGACAGTGTGTGATGCATAACCGTCAATTAGCCCAATCTCTGTCAGCTTATGCTAACAAAGAAGTCGAAGTCTACCAATATCTTCATCGTTAAACGAACACCCATCTAATATAAGATTGTGTTTTCCCACTATTTGGATCTATTTGAAAGGCGAGGGAAATGTATGCGATAAGCAACAAAGAGCACTGGACAGCTGTTTCGTTCTGTTTGGGACCCGTCAGTAGTGCATACATTTTGTGTCCCTATCAGGACTCAAACCGCGAATATTTGGGTCGGGACTTCAAACGCTCTCCCAGGGAGTGAAACCCACACCGAACATCATCAGCAGTGCCTGGTGTCTGTGAACAAACGAATGGGCTAATCCAAACGTTTACCATCTAAATTGATTGAACCATTCGCACAAATTGATAACTGCCGACCGTGTAGGTCAGGGGTAAGGGTTTGAAGTCTCAACCCAAATTTCCGCGGTTCGAGTCCTGATAGGAACACAAAAAGGTATGCACCACTGACGAGCCCCAAACAGAACGAAACAGCTGTCCGGTGCTTTTTGTCGGTTATCACGAACACTTCCACCGCATGGGAAACTCTACCCCATTTATATTTGCTGATAATACTGCGATCGACAAACCGTATTTATAATGTCATTAACGAGGCCATCCTTCTGCGTATTGAATTTCTTTTTTCACAATAGATTTTACAGGCCGTGTATGCCGGACTCGTTCTGTTACTTTTCAGTCTGGTGAGTTATCCATTTAAACTTGCATTAACAAATTGATTTATACTTCTAATACAAATATACAAATAATATGTATACTTTCAGTTTATCGAACACTGAAATGCTAAGTCAATTTTAAGCCGGGTGACTGGGATCAATCAAAGACTGTTGGCGAAATATGAGTGCTTGTAAAGTGGCACTGATGATGTCACCTCGGCTGGTGATGAAACGTTTGCAAACAAATTGCCAAGTCGAGGAACAGGCGCAAGAGAAGGGATGAGATTTTCACAAGTCATAGTTTACCAATGTTGATTGTAATAATCGGAACCTGAATTACTCCTTCTCGCATACAAATTATTTGTTCGTTGTTTAAATCGATCTGAAAGTGGAAGATGAAATCTATAAATTAAAAATAAAGAGGAGTGAGGGAAGTTATTTTCATTTGTTTCGCGTCGAAGTGTGTCAACTTCCGAATCCGGGGACATAACGGGATCATGAGACTATGTGCCAACATTTTTCTTGTGGGTTGCATAAAGGAAAATCGATACAAACTGGTCAAATGGATAGCACGGAAAAACCAGATTAATCAAGCCTGAGGCGTGAGTAAATCTCAGTCAAATCATTCCTACTGGCTCAGGAAACGCCCAAAATTTTTTCAGATGTCGTAACTAGGAGACGGAGATTTTGGAGATCAGGTGATGCCTCATGGTCAATGACCGCATCGTTTCATACCAGAAGAGAGGCAGAAGTACCATAATTATTTCCAACTGTATACTTCCTAATAATTCGTATTCACCATGGTGTACCACAAGAACCGAGTACGACCAACACACTACATCTATTATGAATTTAAAACGAGCAAGAAATTTTTACTATTATCCATATGTATGCAGTTTTTTCGAGAGGCACCTCCAGGTTGGCTCGAGTTCTATGTACAAATTTCCAAAGACATATGATAATATGCATTACCAACTGACAAGATGCGATGCAGATGAATATAGCACTCATCAGTCTGTCCTGAAAAGAACAGTTATATTAATATGAAAAGTTGTAAAGAAATAGATGGTGCGACCAATTTTCAGAGGGGCAGAAGATTACAAATAGAGATTTTCCAAAACATGCAAAAACAGGGATGCCAGCTACTACTATTTGACTACTGTTTTGAGTTACTGTTGTTTGTTGAAGGTGTTGGTAATGGTAGCGGTGGAATCCAGGGCCGATGTGATGTTTGCCACTTCAATGATTGCTTCAGTGAAAACTTCAGTCATTTAGTTTATATCAGTTTCGTTTGTCTGTGTCTAGCGTTTCACAATCTAATCGATTCTGGTCCTGGCGTCCATTGCTGTCTCATTCGAATAGTTTGAAAAATGACTTGCGGGTCCAACAATCAGGAGTTCATTCAGGCTGTTACTCACACTTGCACTTGCACGCATGAACGCACACACACACACACACACACACACACACACACACACATCAGCACTTCGTAGTACACTTGTGTGACTCACCACACAGTCAGCTTTGAAACCTATGGTTTATCATTCGGACAAATAGTGTGACTGCCTTATAATTCATGTGTTTAACAGAACACAGAATGTGAATAATTGATTGCCTACTTCATGCAATCATTTTATTAGATTACCAATTTTCGTACCACCTCAGATGTGTACTGGAATTACTGATTGCATTTGTTATCCACAACAAATATCAGATAACCATAGAGATATTCTTCATGAATTTGTATTCAATCGCATTATTGTATCAACACATTTATCAATGCATTTCAAAACCTGATCGGTCCATGCTGTTTGACTTTACTAACACTTGTTCGACACTAAAAACAATTGAGAGAGCGAAAATCGAGTCCCAACGATCCTATAGACTTTAGAGATTAAATAATCACTCTTGATATGGCAAGGTCAGCCCAATTCATCATAATAAGCTGACCCCAACTACGCTGTTAAGCTTAAATTCAAATCTTTGATTCAGAGTTCTAGTGTTACCGAACGACAACGCCAGTGCAGAATGTGTAAGTCTTTTGTTGCACGAATGACATGTGCAGTGGGTAAATCGAGTTATAATGAGCGAGACAAATAATCTGAAAATACCATGTCACAGTTTTCAGAAAATCTCCTGATGTGTCAGCACATATTGTATTGTCACTAAAATAAATCCGCACATCTGCTCCAGAAGCCCCTGTTCATTTTTGAATTCTGTAAGAATCCGCCAACCGCTATATATGACTACTCACATAAAGTGAGTAGTACCCTCGTAATATTAGCAGACAAAATGTGATACATCCCACCAGTTCGTTTTATGCACACCAGAAGTCAATTATTGCCCAGTGAAATGAGCCACCAAAGTCGCTGAGCGTCAGCAATCTAGCACAGGTCAGTGATATAATCACAGCTGGCTAAGAAGACAAAAGGAACGGCGCACTTCAGTCCAGCCCAAAAGTGAAAACAAGTGTCTGCTGAGTGAACGATTGACTGGCGTTGTGAGTACTCAATGAAGAAACAAGATTATGTAAGACTTACTGAAGACATTTTTCTGATGTATGAAATCCGATGCAATCAAAAAGTCGATGGAACCAAGTGCATACGATGGTCAGGAATGCTGTGATTAATGATGGGGAAGCATACGGCGATCATTGAGGCCTGACTGATTACCCTATCGGTCAAGTATTTAAGTCAAGTTTACAAATTGAGTCATAGTCCGCATTTAGCTTGCGTGATCATCAGTGAAAATCTTTATCGTTCTGCTGATTCCCTTTGAATATTCCTTGTTGTTTTAAAAATTCAGCTGAACTTAATTTTCTATGTTTACAAGATATGGCTGAGACCAGATTTATAGAATCTTAAAAACTAAGTTCAGACTGAAGTTTACTCTTCACATGTGCTTTTATGCTTAATTAAAAGGACCGATAATAGTAACGAGAGTTAATTGAAAAACTGCAAGCTAATTTTTGAAAAAGCATATTTTTGAAAAAATTACTTCTCTTGTAAGTCAGAACACAAATTTAATTTCATTCAATCGATAGTTTTTGTTTCTCCCGTGATTCCATTGGTCATTTACTTTGTGTCCACAGCTCCTGGTGTTTCACACACAGCAGATAGTCGGGGGTCGTAAACACGATCTGGATGAGGAGGAGTATGTGTTCGGTGCCATGCAACTATATGTCGATGTGATCTTCATCTTCACGGCTATGCTTGGAATAGCCGGATCAAATTGAGCAGCTCATGACCGGTACGTGTGCACTTGTGCGGGCCTACAAGGGCAGTTTCTGTTCGCTCGTGAAACCAGTCCAGCGGGAACAAAATGAGAGCCTCATTTCTATTCTTATTTGTTATCCATCATCACTCACCGGCACAAACATTGTGCTTTGCTCGCTCGCATCCATCATGAAATTATGTTTTCTTGCGAATGGATTCTGTCCCTTGTGATTATAACTTTCTTTTTGTGAAAAACTGAGAGTTGCCTTCAGTGTCAATCGGAATAGAAACCACATTTAGGGGAACAAATGATCACACAAAATGCACTGGTAATGGGGCACAAAACCTGAGTGTTCGAACCGATTTTGAGGGCATTTGGGTAGCTACTTGTATCATTATCATCATCTCTTGAGACAGATATGCCTAAAATTTAGCTGAAACTGCAAACTCCCTTGAGATGAAGCTGTCGACCTCTGGTCTAATAGACCAGTTAAATAAACACATTCTCTATCACACACATATATGTATGTATAAGCTGTTGTTTTTCTGTGTCGCAGAGTAATTAGAGTATATCGTGGCTCATCAGTTCACTGTGGCTATGTGCATGTTGATTGGGCATCCAGTTCAGTAACTTCCGACCGGATGTGTCTCATCACTTGAAATATTCATTCATGGATAAAATGGACTCGTCATGCCGAGCAAACGCGTCAATCATCAATCGAGCGCCTTGTAAGCGTGGTGAAACTAGAAAATTCTTCCTTGTAACTGGTCCGTCACCATGCATATGGACCAAGCCCAACATTAGTGTTACAAATTCACAGGACAGTCCAAGGACAAGGAGAGGTGTTTATTCAGAGAGCAGCATTGAATAAAAGTAAATAAGATTACATAGAACGGAACGTCTCATCTGGAACAGGTCATCGAAATTCCGATAAGCATACGGGATAATTGGTGAAACAGTCCAACGGTAGATGTGCTCTTTCTTCAGTTATTATTTTGAATATATCAATTTACCGTTGTTCATTTTTGGCCGTTGTGTGAACCCGTAAATGACTTTTGTAAACAACTCAAATATACTACTCACACACGTGAATAGTACCTCACAACACTAATAGTTAAACCCAGGTGGGAGGAAAGAATTGTTCCGTAAACGGGCTACCCGCAGGGCCCTTCCGGGATCATCATCAACAGGTGATGATACGTCCTAATAATAGAACACTCATCCGCCACTGCAACTGAACACACTGGATTTCATCATCATGATCTCCCACCAAGGTCCCTCTGTAAAATCAAGTATGAAATAGTTTAGAAGATATGTTGTTTTATCATGAATGTGGATGTTCCGAGTTGCATCGCGGGAGAACGCGTCAAAATAAAAAAACCTTTGATCCCGAGTCGAAATTTCACCGTACACATGCACTTAGAATAACACACAGCAAATAGCTGCTGTACAGTGTCGCTAAGCTTTTCACTGAAAAGTTAGACGCCCGCTATGCGTGACAAATCAATTTTTCTGACAAAAAGCAAACCTAATTATGATGAAATTTAACTAGCGTCACACCAGGAGGGCATCGACTGAACTGTAAAAACTTGCACTGAAGTCAGAATAAAACGAGTTAACAATACACCACCACGATGGATTTGTTGAAGAAAACACGGAATGCACTTGTGAGTACTCAGGCGATGTTTGGCCGCGATCAGGCGCTTTACTCCCCTAGCAAATCGACTGTGAGAGTAAGCTGTTATCACAATTTTTGTGACTTCGGAAAAGCCCCCTTTCTGTCGGTCAAAACATAACTTTGCTCCAAAAATCGGTTCTCCAAATGATGATCTCTCTGGTTGTTTTAGTTTTGCAAATCTCAGGGGTATATATAGCCCTTGTGAATGTTATAGTGTTAATAACACACAATCAAAATTTGATTATAAAACCTGCCTTGAGAAAGGTTACCAACAGCAACCGAAACGTTGGCAAATATAATTCTCTACCGATATCGCTGTGTTATTAACACTATAACTTTCAAAATAAAGCAACACATGGCGCATCGATTTTTCGATACACTCCTAACATCACTTGGTCCCGAATTTATACCCCTTTTTATTGTTCCGAATAATTCACTTGTTTAGAAGGATTGTACACCATGAGACGAGTTTTGATACACTAATTCCGCACGCAAACAAATTACTGATCGACACGGGAATGCGGATTCCAGTTGATGTATAGAATTTCATTGGGCCAGAAAATCGCACAGAATACAAAGCTCATTGATACTTCCATGACATTTATTTTTCAGTTCTTCTGCCATAACAGTTCCGTGCTGTTCGAGGCCAGGCCCAAATCCTACCATTCCTTCTTTTTGTTACAAAATAAAGTTGAATTTCTAATCAAGATTTCTGAAATAGACTGCAACATTGTTCCTCCTCAATGTAAATGAGCATATTTGCTGGATGATTTAGAAATTTTATTTCAGTTTTAGCAGCCAACGGGTTAAAAAGTTCTGAATGATAAAAAGTAAAACGCATATAATTCATTAAGCACACTCAAAACACGTTCCTTTGATAGAATCATGTGGGTCCTGTGCACACAAAAGGTGGTCGATTCACAAAGTTTCGGTCAGTTCAGTTCAGTTTGTACAACCAATAACCATGCATTTTCGAGTGCCGGTTTTGGTTGCTGTCTTTTTGTTTCGGTATTACCCATAGGTCGTTTCCCCACGCATTGACAAAAGCGCACGGTATTCAGTGCTGAAGTGACTATCACATTTTGTAATCACAGGTTTACTTTGGATAGCGACTTTGAACAATCCATGCAGACTGTGAACTTCATCACATGCAACTCACGTGACCTGAACAAATTCACATTGGTGGGTAAATCCCCATGAGTCACGTGATTTAGTCGATCTTTCCTTTTGAAATTTCATTTGTGAAACACGTATAAATGAATACGTTCGAGAATAAATCTAAGGTTTTAAAAGACATTATCTGATTGAAATCATGAATTTCCCACCACCTCCGCCACCACCACCACCGTCAATGCCTTATGGACGTAAGTACCTGTGAAATTTTTGGGAGTGGTATTTGCATTAGTTAACTTTTTCCAACTTTCGGTTATGAGATCACGTAACTTCTCTCTTGATGACACATATCGTGAATCGGTATTCTTCCAGTTTGACTTCTTTCTAAATTAACTCAGCTTGCTCAAGAGGGTAAAATACGTCCATTTGTCTGAACGCTCAGATTACGATTAATAAATTTGCTAACTACCGGGTACATTACTTAACCCATCAAAGGTCTGCATAATGTATATTTGCACGTAGTTCAGGAAGTGTCCTCATGATGAAACTCATAACATACCACACACAATATAATTTTACAGGTGACGCACCGAGATCGTACATTTTGTAAGTAATGGTTCTGTATTTTATCGAGGTGGTTTCGAACTTAGTCACTAGCTTACCTCAGATTCAGTGAGCCGACGGTCACTATTTGAACAGGATGATCATATTCCACTGCAGTATAAACCAACGTAAACGATGTATACCGCTAAGAAAAATTATTTGATTTGGTGATGAGCTCATATTCACGAAGTCGATGACGGTAAGAGACGAATAAAACGCATCTGAAGTGGTTAACCGACAAGAATGTGCGATGTTCGAGCGAGACACGCAGTAAAAATGAATCGAGCTCCCCTGGGTCAAACCAAATAACGAAGGTAGCTTAGTTGAAACGGATACCGTGTCAAGAGGTTAAATAGGTTAAAACACTCCCAATCCAGAATGCAAGATCAACACTACAACTAACGCCGGATCCCATACGGTGGGGATTAACCTCATCACAATTGGAACGGAGAATGCGTTGGAGGTGAAAATATATCATTGATACAGATGGTCCTCTTCGCACAACTTCTGGCGAGAATATAAGATTTGAATCTTTTGCAATTTGATGAAAACGGGTATGTGACTTTTCACTATTTTCTGATGTACCCCGAGAGAAAAAGTGTTCGTTAAAACTCCTGGCAACTACGTCATTCGTACCACTCATTTAGAAAACGAAAATAATATCATCCATTAAATTCGTCCCATATGAATGATACCCGAATGTATGCTGATGACCAAAGAAAGAGGGACCAGTATTTTGTAACAATTATTTTGCGCTAAATATTGCGTGGGTTAATCGCGTTTTGCTTCCGAAACATACTTAATGCTATCAATCAGGTAAAGTGTGTTTGCCATTAAAACAAGTGACTTCTATGAAACACTAACAGTCATTTACGGTTGCTCAAAATATAGTGTTGTATATGAAGCCATTATTGATGTAGGTCTAAGTGATCCGTTCAGGGTCTCAATCCCGCTAAGCAACTGATTTCTATATCGGGAGGAAAATCGAATGTGTCCGAATTCACTGGCACATACCGTTTTGGAACCAGCAAAAGCCGTGATTGTGAACTACACGTTTTTGAATTCATTTCCCTTGGTAGGCACTATGCCGAATAGTATTCACAGGGGCCGGCTCAAGCTGCATCATTGTTCTCACCGCAGAATGCGCTTCATATTTGTGTGACCAAATACGGGAAAGTAATAATGAAAAGCCCATTCCGATGCTGCAATTATAATACAGTGATTAAATCTATCACCACAAGAACGAAATAGCAATGAAAGTTTTCGCTTGAGCTAATATTTATGCTTATATTCATGGATACACTTCTCAATTTATTTTTGGTCCCGAATTAGGGTATGCGAATTCTACGGAGGGATTGTTGCGAAAGTGTTTCGTAGATTCCAGTGCCAATGTGTTCAGCTTACCCGCTCGACTCAAAAGCATTAGTCTTATAATTATGACTGAAATTGTGCTGGTTCACGGGAAAATTTACAAATTGGTTGTTTGTCCAAATGACTCCCCATTTCTAAATGGTGGGCTTCATCTCGGCCGCGGCAAAGGGCCCGAATTTCTGTTGTGCTTACACTATCATTCACAGTTAACTGGACAGACGTCGATAATCAAACCTTCGTTGAGCACTCTATAC